CCCCCCGGCCCCCCCCCCCCCCCCCCCAAGCATGACTCAATTCAATAACAAAGTTGGTGGCAAAATGTTGAAGTGAAAAGAATTTCGGACTTAACCAACTGATACATACTGTAGTCACCGTAAATTATGTACAGTTTAATATATCATGCAAACTACTGGAGTTCTACGAGTTTGCCCTGTGTTAATTTCAGTGCTGGTATTTTGTGTATTATCTTATCTGTATCAATATTCTGTATAATGGGGTCATAAAGTCACAAAAAAATTTACCTGCACTAGTATGTACATCAAATGAACATTACATAATTAAAATCATTTGTATCCTCATTGTGATGCTATGCTGATGTATAATACGTATAAAGTATTCTTTACTTCATTTAATCTTATTTCATCCTCTGTTGTATGTATTTTTCCTTCAATACATTTTACTTAATCACCACGGCAGTGGTGCATTTGATTACAAAATCATAACATTTTGCAATGTCAGGCTCAAGATTTCAAAAGTTTTTTTCTAATTCTCCCCTCCTGTCCCAAAACCTTTACTGTTTCTTCTTTTTTTGCACATCTTTTTATTTAAATTCAGAAATTTACTGCAAAAATAAAGTAATTTTTCTTCAATCAACAGCTTTCTGTTAGACATAAAATTATTGGAGGTTAACTATTTCACAGCTGACGAAATTCTTCTCTGAAAAATAAACTACTTCTTCATGTTTATAATGGTGCAATTTTAAGCAATTACACAACTTCTCATTATAAGTTTGGAAGGGACAGGGCTGAACCTGACACAAGTGGATTGAAATCCCAAGATGAAATTACGGTTCTGCTGATTTTTGTGTGCAGTGAAGTCAGCTCAGTAAGCTCAGCATCTGTGCTATATTTTATGGGCACTTTCATGATGAAGAAATCCAAGAAATGTAGTTACTCAGATCACACATATAATCTTAAGTTTATTTGTGCAGGAAAAAAATGGTAGGGCTTTAAGTTAACTCAATGTGCTCTTGAGAGTCCAACCAACTTGTGATATCATGTCCCAGAAGAGAGGTGATCAAGATCTGTTCAACACATGCACTTACTTCTTTCAGCCTCCAAAAAAAACTTCAAGGCCTAGGACAGAAAAAACGTATCAGTTTTAAGTACTATTACTTGAAGGCCTCAAATAATGATGTTTTCATACACTTAAATTACGTTTTAATTTATCATTACAAAATGATTTCTGAAAAACTGCAAGAAATTACAGCACATAATATTAAGTATAGTAGCAAGGTTGGCTTATTATTATTTTTCATTTGAAATATAATTTAATTTCTTAAATTGCATAAGAATGCAATACACAAAAATTTTAATTAAATCCCACTTCTAGGTACTTTGTTAATACATGGTCACTGAACAAAGGCCCTGACCTACCTCCTCATAAGTAGAAGTGGGCGGAGTGGTAAATATGACTGAAGCAATTTTCTGTTGATACCAAGGTAGGTCAGCAAACAAAAAACACCTGCAAAATGGAGAAAATTTCAGCATAATATATTTGTGTATTTCTTTATTTTTCTTCATTTTTATTTTTGATTCAGACTGCAGTAACTCTCCTCAATTCAAGGTTCTACTCACCAGTAACCTAGGGAGTGGACAGAAGTGGCATCTTTTGGGTTTAATTCTACTGCTTTCTGCAAAGCAGAAAAATCTGATATTATGCCATTTTCAAAAGTCTAATGTTTATTCTCTTAACTAGTTTACAAATAGTATGAAGTTAAGCATTTTTGTTGTTTTTTTACATACCGTACTTGTCATATTAATTCAAGCATTTTTTGTTGTTTTTGTGTGTACTTCTCATATTAGATCAGTGATATCATACTTAACTTTAGGCTCATTCCCAAGAATATTTTTACATAGATCTATCCAACTTTGTAGGGACACTCAATGAATGCAATCAGATTTACAGATTAACATGCCTCCTCTACAGCATACTTGTATAATTACTAGTACCAGCTTTTCTTTAACGTAACTAATGCCAGGAGAAAACCTGTTAATCTGTAAAATTGAGTGCATTCAGTGAGAGTCCCACAGATTTGGATCGATTTAAAAAGGCCGATGTTTTCAATGGGAATTACCTTCCAAACAGCAAAAATCAAACTTATAAAACCCTGTGGCAATGCAGAACCTCTCTAACTACTACGCTATGAGCAGAATACTAATATATCACACCTGATGTAAAAAGTCCTCTAGTAAGAATATAATGTTAGTGTGACCATAGAGATCTCTACTTACTAAAAAGTGCTCTTTCACTTCATATGCATTTGCTATCCTCTGCTTCGTGCCTTCATATTCTCCTGTGTAGTCTAACAATATGGCATACCACTTGAATAAAAAAAATTAATCTATATATATAACTGTGGCACAATCTTTTTTTATGTCTTCAAAACTAGCTGTACATATATTCTACCAATGTAATAAATAACAAAAGCAGTGGGGTATATTTACTGAAAAAACTTTTTTTACTAAAATGGTCAATGCTGAAATCCATATCAATTTTTTTGCATTTGTCATGTACAAAAGTGTTTCCCTGGCCCCCTTTTTTCTGCAGTTCAGCTATAAGAACCTGGCATATATACCATGGGAATACAAGTTAACTGTCTCTGTGTCACATGAAAAAAAAATCAATACTAACAGCTTGCTGGACATTTTTCTTGAATGGAATCTGAAATTCCTATTAATCTACAAGGACTTGCTGTGCAAGCTGCTGACTCATCTCAATTGCTAATATCGATGACAATATTAGAGTCATATCACACTGATAAAACCTACCACAACTGACAACCTACACAAGAATTATATATATTTTTCATTGCCATCTTGTTGAAGGGATTTAAATTTTTAAACTGTTACAATACACATGGGTTGTATTTACAAAATGAGAAACTATTAGTACTTGTTTAAGCAATATGGATGTTTGGTGATATCAATTAGCTTATTTCTGGTGTAAGTTAAACCTAATGGGAATTTTTGGCCATGGTCATATACAAATATTCCTTTCCGTTTCAATTCAAATGAGCAGCTCAAATGGGGAAAATCTAACATCTATATATAGGAAGCATATAAACACTTAAATGAAGAACTAATTCCAGTATTCCAAATTGCTAAAATAATGATAAAACCTGGGGTTACATGTTCTTCATGCATATATTAACTTTTAAAAAGGTAAATCAATTATTTTTGTCCATGGATACAAATGTTGTAAAGACATAAATATAACCTCAAAAGAATAAAAAAATTCATATAACAGTACAAGTTTGATGGCAGGCAGTGACAATTTATTCTTAGTCAAGACAAGATGCACATATGCACATACTAGTGTCCTAGCATCCATAAGTATAACACGGAATATGAAAAACCCACTGGTTTACCTACACAGTGCCTCCTACAGATTATAGTGACTTACACCAGATTATAAAATAATTCCTTTTCATCTTACCTTATGACAGGCAAAATTGTTCGGATTTTTCTCCAGTGCCATTTTGGCATATTTAAAAGCTTCATAGTAATAATCCTTCTTAGCAGGATCCTTCAGTAATTTTCCTTTGTCTGTGGCTGCTCGTGCCAGTCTCCATAAGAGCTCATCATTCGAGCTGTCTTTGTATTGGATTAGGTAGTCGTATAATGCCAGAGTGTCAGATTTATCGAATAACTCATCAGCCTGTTCAATTATCTTCTCTTCAGGGCTTTTGGAGGCAGATGTGGCTGAATCATACAAACGTGGTCTTAAAGACTGTCAGATTTTTTCAGTGTGGAGGAGAAAAACAGATCACAGAGCGGAAATGAAGCACTGACCAATGAGCCAATATTGGAAAGTGCTTCATTGACAATTTTGGCACTTTCTTTTCTCATGTATTATTAGACGATTATTAAGCAAAAATTAAACTTACTTAAATTTTAACAAATCTCCATTCCATAACGTCACTAACATATTATATATTCTATTCATAAACGTTGAGAAAATTATCAGGTATAAATGAACCTCTTTTAGAGTTCTCTGTTTCTGATTTTATTTTAAAGTGAAATTCATTACTAGTAGTCTCAACCACTAATACTAAAGCTAATACAAAAATTCAAAAGATTACTAAACATGTTCACAAAGAAAAAGAATCACAATATCAAGAACACTTTTCTTTTGAATACATTCTTAAATGTTTGCTATTACCTTGTGACATTTAATGATTTGACACAATTGAATATTACATCAGTCTTATTATAAATATTTTTATAAAATTGAGAACCCATCTTTCATGAATGTAACTTATAATAAGCTTACCTTCAGGTTCTTTCTCTGATGGCCTCATTCCAAATGTAAACCCTCTCATGCTAACCACAGCCCCAGGTAAAAGCAGCCATCTTGATGCAGATGGCAGAAACTAGGAAAAATATTAAAGATTATATATATCTCACAGATAATATTAAATGAAGATATCTTGTGTAGACATCTGTCATATTACAATAGTCTGAATGTTGATACCGAGAAAGGTAGGTATTCATGAAAACTAGGAATGCCTTGAAAGAGTTGAATGCTTGTATATGTGGTACTGATTCTCAGTAAAATTTACATAATAAAAAATTAACACTTTCCATTCACTTAAAGCAATGTATAAATTTAACATAATTTTTTTACTGCTGTTTAACCCTCCTGGAACACCATTTTTTGCTTAATCATAATCCATTCCCAACATAAGCCATTCTGAATTTTAAAGATGTCACAAATTTGACATCTGCTTAAAAATATAAAGATATCTACATGTATACAGGGTGGGCCAACACAGATAATCCCTCAGGAAAATGTTACAGTTCATCATATGGGATTAAGCAAATTATAATTTTAAAAAGCTGAAAGTGGCACTAGTTGTTGGTTTTTGCAAACAGCCATGAAATGTGTCCCACAACTTCCACAAGATTTTATCCATTTTTATTATACACCCTGCTTTTCATTTAATGCAAAGAGAACTGAGGACAGCTTGCACTATTACTGGGTTAATGTTTTGATGATGTAGGGAACAGCGAAAAAGAAATTAAGAACAAACTTTTAAACTGAAAACTTTTTATAAGTGATTATTCTACCTGGAAAAATCCCAAAAAGCTAGAGACTAGACACAGACATAGAAATTAAGAACAAACTTTTAAACTGAAAACTATTTAAACAGTGATTATTCTGCTTGGAAAAATCCCAAAATGCTGGTGATTAAAAAAAGTACTTGGAAAAATCCTATAACCAAAATTGTTCTTCATGCCCACCTCCTAAAAGTATTGTGTGACAAATCTTAAGCATTTGGGACATAATTTAGAACTTGAAAATCAACTTAAGCAACTTTTGCCCCCCTGTTTAAATTGATTTCTTGAGAAAAATACATCGATCTAAATGAGATAACTTAAAACTTCAACCGGTTTATTCACAGCCAGATACGTTAACCTGTACTCCAAAGTCCCTAGCATTATTTGATAACAAAAAGCAGTGCGTGAACCCTGATAGGCCTTAACTGATAAAAGTGTCAATTCCATTCAACGCAAGGTGTCAGTGTCACCGAAACTTTAATGACGAGATGGTGCATCCAAGTTAACCCGTAAAGCCAATTGTTAACCAAACAAGTAGCAATAAGAATTATTGCTTACCTGCTTCGTAAATATTTTTCTAATTTGCTGTCTTGATTGTTGATTACGTCGACAGAATGTCCAAATACTTTGAAGCAGTCGAAGTTTTCGCCGGAACATTTTTCTGTTTATCGTTCAGAGTAAATCTCCAGCAGCACAAGAACTCCGTCAGTCAAGATAAGCCGCTGTCGACTATTTGGACTGAGACCTCTCTTCTGTGGAGACACATAATCTCCTTGTGGCAGTTGCGCATCTAACAATAATGCTCACAGGTATCTAACAACAGGTATCTACATCAAATAGAAATCTTACTGATTAACTTTACCGTAATTTTCTTTCACAACTACGCTCGACGGTCACCTGCCACCTCCTTGATTGGTTAATGAACCGGGTAAAAATAAGATCAAAATCCTTCAGGTGTTTTAAAAGAATGTCATTAAGTCACCATTTACCCATAGAGACTATTTTATTTGTATTTTATCGTTTATTTTCCTCGATTCTGTTTCACAAGCTTGCCTTAGGCCTATTTTATAGTCTCTAGAAATAAAAAGGATGTGACTTATGAACATTTTCAAACGCGTATATAATGTCTTTGATTTATGCTCGGTGTTCTCCAACGGTGGTTGTCAGTTTGTTTCAAATCGTTATTCCCACAAAATGAAATGACATAATATTTCCCAATTTTTTATATAAAACACTTGTCTTCATATTAATAAACTTAATAACCCCCTTAAACTGATCTTTTCAAGACATTGAAGAAACGCAAAATGAATTAAACTATCATAATGATTATATTTATTTTCGCCCTCCTATTCGCCAAATTCAATATCGTTCGAATACCTTATATTGAATTAAAACCTGTCATACCGTAAAAACCATTAACAGGATCTTCAACAATCTTCGGAGACGAAACATTTCTGAAGTTATTTTATTTTACATTATGCCATTCATATTAAGATGTGCTTCTTAAAATTTCAGAAATGTTATAACCTTGCATTTGGTACAGGTAATTGAATACCATTAGATAGAATCTATCATACTCTAAACTAAAATGATATCTTATTGGAATTAACGCGAGACTGCGTTTCTTAATGATTTCATTTAAGTCAATTATAGTGCCTACTGCATGTAAACAAACAAAAAATCGAAGTTTGTATACTTATACAGTTTTTACAGGTCATTGATTGCATATAACAAAGAGCATTGCTTTATCTTCTTCATTTACGAGCCCAAGTACAAAAGTACATGGTTTAAAGTACTTTCAGAAGAATTACAGACTTAGTTTCGCCAGGTGGCACTATCTCCAATAAAAGGTTTCAGGTGTCGCGTGCGTCTTTCCACTTTATTGAATGGGTTGTGTGGGTAGGTAAGAGTCACCGTCTTGGATAAAGGTCCCATGTGTGGGTTTTGTGGCATCTTGTAGGTGTCCTTGGGGAAAAGCCTGGAATGAAGCAGAGAGGAATTTTAGACAAAATGTGCTTTGCGTTGATCAGAGATAAACAATATATGGAATATTGATAAATGTCGCCATTCATCTGTCCTCCTGCTGAGAGAGAGAGAGAGAGAGAGAGATGATACAGTAAGTGTGGGAGAGATTTGTAATAAGTACAACATAATCAAAATAACTCAATTTAATTAACTTTCTAGAGAGAGAGAGAGAGAGAGAGAGAGAGAGACCTGTAGCTCGTTCTGGCTGTTGTCATCATGGAAGGTAACAAGCTTGGTGCTTCAAGAGGGGCTTCAATAGGTTCACGTGGCACGTACCCAGCGTAACCAGGGCACTGACGAACGCTGAAACAATGGAAACACATTAACGCTTAATTAATTAGAATCCATCAAATTTAAGTAACTTCATCGCCGTAAGACTACTGTATAAAAAAGCTCCCATGTTCCCTCTGTAAAGAAGGTGAATTTGTGATATAGAGATTTAACTTACACTATAACTGGCAGATACCAACAATAGGATCGATTTTATTTATTTATTTTTTAAAGTCTACCGTCACTGAGAAACGGGCAGTTTTCATTTAGTTAGAAGGCACTGCACATACTACGTTGATGCAAGTTTTTCGGATCGCATCAGCTCTTCTATTTTGTTTATGATTCGCTGCTGTGCACTGCCGGTCCTATAAAAATACGTCAGTGATATATTAAAAGTTATATATTGAATAGAAATGAAAATCAAATAAATCAGTTAAAATGGGAGGTAGGGTATTAATATTGAAATCTTAGATAGAGGTCATTATGATATGACATATCTTGGCAATAAAAGAAACAATACACATGATGAAAATTCAAATATGGCTATTTAAGATCACTTTAAATCACCCGCAGTTTTCAAGAAATGTCGGTTATTTTCCTTCAGCGAACATACGCACTCCACCGTCGCCCGGCTTACGGCAGTGGTATAAACTGTTAGCACATAACATGGCTAAGGTCCACGAAAAATTTTTAACTAATATTGTTTTACATTCGGTGGCGTACAATTTTTTTACGAGCTTCTGTCGGTTTCGAGAGATCAGAGCAATATGCATACCGTTTAAAGGAGACCTTTTCCCCTGTGGGTACGGTGGGTTCCACCCGGGTCTGACCCAGGGGAGGTCGGAGCTGGACCCGGTCCCAAGCCAGAGACACCCGTTGAAAGCTGTACGCTTTCCTCTCATAGCGCTGTGGGCGGTATTTCACCACGTCGGCATTGTCGAACACTGATGTCATAGGAAAGTCGGTCTGAAAAATTAAAATAATATTTTCCCCTGTGCCTGTTTCGCTATTGCATATTTCTTCTTATTTGATTTCAGCGCAATACATAAATATTATATAGTTAATCAAGACTTATGAACAAAGAGTCATAACCATTGTTTTAAGGCATGGGAGGCAATATGCAAATGTATGAAATAAAACGAAATTTAGATTAATTAACATTATATGATTATGTTTAAAACAAATTCGGGGTTAGGCACAACGGCTCATAGTGGTTAGCGAGAGAAGAGAGAAAGAATGAATTTTGTTTGCGGTAAACGAAATTATAAAATTCATCTAAGATTCCGTTTGGATTAAGTGGCTTGAATGAATTCTGTAAGCGTGAAACGCATCAGGCATCAGGCATTTGGAAAACATCGAAATGCGATCAGATTCGGCTCTAATAGAGAACTTCGTCACAATAAATCCCCACTTTTAATTTTCTAACATCTATATTGCCAATCTTTGTGTGCTGTGCACATTATGCTATAGGGGGCCTGCCAGATTTATTGATTTTTATCATATCAACAGAATTCGATATTTATCTTCTGTCTTTTTAGTAGCCTACAAACTGAATTTTGAAAATAATAGGATGTACTCCGTAGTATGTCCTAAAATAAACTATGCCCTATTAACACTGAAAAATTAATAAAAAAAAGCCGAAAGGAAAACACTTACTTTCACAGGCATGGTAGCCACTTCTTTGGCAGCTTCTTTTGAATCCGTGGTCCATCTTTTGGCGTGGATCAAAGCGTCAATCACTTTGGGTGTTACCTTGACTGGTGGCGGCCTCTTTTGTCTGCTGTGAGGACGACGGCAGGAAGGAGCTCGGGAACTCCCTTTTCGCACACGCTTTTTGTCCCGCTTCTCGTGAAGACTGTTTGTAAGCTCTTTCGGCGGCAGGGCACTCACGATTGAATCGTTTGAATTTCTGGAAAACAGACGCACAATATATTCAATATGTATGAAAAATAGGTCTGTGATCTGTAACAAATAATATAAATGGACTCTTCTTTCAACTACCGTGTTCAGAAATTTTAATCCTCTCCAGCAAAAATTCACTCGGCTTGTCATAACACATATAGGCCTACAGCATGCATTTAGAGTTCTCATACGAATACAACGTAGCCTTATAGATACTTGATATTCTTGACATACTTCCCCTTCCTCATTAGACAATCTTTCAGATGAGAAATTCAGAGTTTGAAAAAAAAAAACAAAAACAAAAAGGAATGATCTGTAAAAATAATAAAAATATGGTACACAAAGTATGTTAAGCACAAAGACGGGACTGGGTTCTAGGCATAATGATGATCTCCTTGTTTTCTGTTCTCTATAAAGCGAAATGAATGCAATTTCCCTGTTGCTGAATTTAAAAAAGAAAACGAACTCATCGAAAGGCAAAGTGGAAGATTTATTGGTTTCTGTGAACATGGATTTTATTTTTGTTTTCGTAATTTGTGTCTTAATGCTCAATTGCAAGCTTACATTCCACTCATTTATTAAGAACAACCAAAATGCGTTTCCAAGGGTTTTCTTTAATTTATTTTATGGGAGGGGGGGGGGATTGAATTTTACCCAACTGATATTTATTATTTTTCAACAATACAAGTTTCCATACTATGTTTCGTATCATTTTATTTTAATTTTTTCTTTTTTTATTATTGTCCTTTTTTACTGCAACTGATAACGATTTATTGTTTACAGCGGATTGTTGTGTTTTCCTGGCATCAACTCACCGGCAATCTAAGCCCTGATTACAAAACGGCAAAAACGATTAATTTTATTACAAATAAAGTTGCCCCTTAATAAATCTGAATAAATATTTTTCCCTCTTACATGTCTGTTTCCAAGTCGTATGTCCCAAGGCCCAGTGCAGGAGGCCTATCGAGTTCAAGGAGTCTGTGTGGCCCCACTGGATCTAGTGGGAACGATCTTGAGGGAACCTTTGGTTCTTCTTCAGTATCAAACGATGTCATCTGGTGTCGTTTGATCGGGGGCAGGAAGGAGCTGCATGTTTCGTACATCGCTCCGCAGGCAGGGCCATTGTTTTGCTGCCAACTCAGCGCCATCCTAGTCCAAGATCGCTACCGTCGTTAGTGAACCATTTATGACGTCATAGTTTTGTTATAACCTAACGTGACGTTATGATTTATTGCGCTTGTAAGAATTTGAGGTAGACTTATTTAGGACTTAATAATCTGGGTTTTATTAAAAATAGGCTTTTTTAGGGGGAGGGGGTCCTAACAGATAATTAAAATACCAATTTTAAATTTTTCTCTTATTTTAATTGAAACCCTGATTATTTGAACCCGTAAATGTTCTTCACTAATAAATTAGAACTTAAAAATGAAAGCTAAATAATTTAGATCTAAACAACTTCCTATTCTAAAAAAAGAGACCGTTAAAAACTATTCGATTGAGAATGCAAGTCTAGTGCCAGTTTAACTGGTTCAATTCTCATTTGTTCTGCGTTTCATTTTTAAACATATGGACCATATTGTCATCACCAAATCTATGGTTATGTTTTAAAAATAATTCAGAAAAAGTTGGAAGGTTAAGTTTCCGGAGAGCCTTTAATTGATGTTGCTGTGCTCCAAGTAACAACCCAAATGTAATAATCAAAATTGCAGTAGTTGCGCTGAAATGTGTCACACATGCAGATTGCTCACCTGTCAACTGTCAAGTGCGAGAAAACACGAGACTATGTACAGTGCCACCTTGTGGTTAGAAATGAACAAGTAAGGAGTTGGACGAGTTGTTCGAAAACAAGTTGCTGAAAGTTCCGAGGACGGTGTGTCACCTTTAACTAACTGCCCAAATTGATTTACAGCAAAGCATTCGTCGCTGAGCAGGATATTCGGGTGAGTAGAGTCGCTAAATGTTAACAAGAAGGACAGTTTCTTATCGAGATATCGACGACACCTCGACTCGATGAAACAAGTTCAACCCCTGTGCGGCGACTGTCGTAGACTGTACGCACACGCTTCGTGTCAGCTACCAAAATTTTGTGCTATTTGGCCTCAAAAGAATATAGCCATTTCCAAAGGTCATAGGATGTAGTCGATTTGAGAGCAACAGGATCTTGGTTTATCTAGATTGCTACTTATTTAACCGCTGTGGGATCTCCTGTCATTCCACCCACTAGATTATAGTTTAAGCAGGCCGATGGCTCTGCAAACTACCCTAATCTGAATTTGATGAATTAGACAAATAAATAAAGCGTGAAATAATCCCATTAAAATTCTGTATAATGTTTCCTCATAGGCAACCTTTTATGAAGAATTATAGGTGATGGTATTGATTTCTGCACAAGCTAATTTAAACAATTTGATGAGTAGTTAGGGGGAAATCATTTGAGCACTGTGGCCTTTGTGCAGGCTGGCCCTCCTGCAAATTAAAGAGAATGTACCTGTACTGTTAAACCAAGCCTTCTCACAAATGCTTGTGCATATTAACACTCGCCAATTTAGCCAAATGCCAAAACTGGCTTAATTGGCTAAACGGAATAGGGCTGATTTGACTTATTTTAGTCAACTTTGAACCATTTGGAGAAATAATTAAAGTGATGAAAAAGCAGCAATTTGGCTAAAAAAAAAAAAAAAAAAAAAACCAAAAAAAAAAAAAAAAATTGCTAACACCACCCTAGACTGAAATATTGTAAAAAATAAAGAATGCAGCAGGAGTGGCCTTGACTGGGAGGTGTTTGGGTGGCCTTGCTAGGATGATTTAATTAAACCCATTTTCTTGGTCTTTCTGTCAGACTTTGGTTCAAATATATGTTTATAGTCAAAGCATACAGACAGCAATTTTGACAATGGTTTATTTTCAAAAAAGGAGGACCTTTTTAATCTGTGGCAGGCCTTTTCCAGAAAAAAAAAGCAGTTCTCTTGACCCTCCCAGCTCCTGCTTATGGGAAGAAGGTATCCTATTACCTGGAGTTATTGCAGTATTAAGAATCGTCTAGACTTTGATTTATTGATTGGTGTTACTAGGACATACATTAGGTGAGATAGAGAAAATTGCATGCTTTATTTTTGCTGCAGAATCGTGATTTAGCCAAAATATAATATAATTTGTTGATAAGGAAACCTGATTTTTTTGTTGAGGTGCATGTACATTAAAACTTCTGAAGATATTTATAAACATTTAAAACCACAAACTTTCCAGCCATGTGCAAATTGCCATTTTTCTTTTAATTTGAAAGTAATTTATCATAGTCATTCATCTGAGAGAAATGTGTTAGTACTTCATAGTATTTCTTTCAGTTTTCACTAGTGATATTATCAATAAGACTATTTTCAGTATGAGTTACATGCATTAGTATGTAGTCCAGTTGGCAGGACCACTTGCTACAATCTGTGCTGCACTTGGTCATCAATGAGGATTGATTTGTGCACTACTTGCTTTCACTATGGGTTGTGCAAACACCTGTAGTGGGATTTAGTGGAATAAAATCAATATGCAGTGTACTGTACTCTCCTTCCCCCCCCCCCTCTCTCTCTCTCTCTCTCTCTCTCTCTCTCTTGGATTAATTTAGATAAATGCCACTAGCTGTAGATCACTATTATGGATGCCTAAGGTTAATCTCTTTTCCAGAATGAGGGCTGATGAGAGAATTATAAGGTTTAAACAGTTTTTGAATATCGATAAAAAGAGCCAACTGTCAAGCTCTGGTATATGCTCTAGGTTGATTCATTAATAGGGCATTTTTCTGTAAGTGCAGAGCAAATTGTACAAATTTTTAAAGAATGTTTCATGTTGAGTAAGGAAGCGCCTGCTCGTACACACACACACACACACAGACACAAACAATCTTGTAAGGGCTGGATATAAAAATTACTATTAAGTGATTTTGTATATTGCTTTTGCTAAATCTGTCCCTCTTAAGCTTACAGTTGAAAATGGTGAGGATTTTGGCTAACGGTAGTGATGTCTTAACTTTCATGTAGGCAGAAATTTCAAAACGAGGGGGTGGGGTTCTTTTTCTGAAGAAGTGAACTTATCAGTCCCCTTATTGGACCAAACTTAGGAAATGGCCTGGAACCTAGATTAAATTTTGATTCAGAAAGGAGCATATCTGGAAAAAAGATTGTTTCAATCCACCACCCCTGCTTTTGGGCCTGCAGCTGTAAAGATTATAAAAAAAAAATCAGCATATATCAATATTTAGAGCCCAAAAATCAAAATAAAGAATTTACTGGAAAAATCATAATGTATAATTATAATGTGAAATTTTTTTGATCCAAACTTTAGCATTAATAGCATTTTATGAATATATTTTGCTTTTGAGCATGGTCTATACAAANACCCAAACAATCTTGTAAGGGCTGGATATAAAAATTACTAGTAAGTGACTATTTATTGCTTTTGCTAAATCTGTCCCTGTTAAGTTTACGTTTGAAAATGGTGAGGATTTTGGCTAACTGTAGTGATGTCTTAACTTTCATGAAGGCAGAAATTTCAAAATGAGGGGGTGGGGTTCTTTTTCTGAAGAAGTGAACCTATCAGTCCCGTTATTGGACCAAACTTAAGAAATGGCCTGGAACCTAGATTAAATTTCGATTCAGAAAGGAGCATATCTGGAAAAAAGATTGTTTCAATCCACCTCCCCTGCTTTTGGGCCTGCAGCTGTAAAGATTTTTAAAAAATCAGCATCAATCAATATTTAGAGTCCAAAAATCAAAATAAAGAATTTTCTGGAAAATCATAATGTATAATTATAATGTGAAATTTGTTTGATCTAAACTTTAGCATTAATAGCATTTTATGAATATATTTAGCTAGATTGAACATGGTCTAAACAGACAAGCTGTCGTCTTCAGGTTGCAGTACTTTTACCAATCTGAGTTGAGCTCTGGATATTATGAAATTGACATTTATCGAGGGAATCCACTTTGTTAAATTGCGGTTTAAATTGATTGAGCACTAGTTGGTGGGGCTGTTAATCTCATCGCTGTGCATGGAGATAAATCAATGCTCTTCTTTATATCTGTAAACTCTGCTGTTTGTCTACACGTAACTTTAGGTAGAATCAGCGGGAGATAAGGTGTTTCTTGGAGGTCAGAGTAATTGCTCACCTATTCCTGTATTTGCTTTTCATGGTTTATCTCATTGTCTGAGTACTCTTTTTTGGGAGTGATCCCAATTTGCCTTTTAGATTTTTTTTTTTGAAATTGATATTTATATTTATTGTAAGCAACCATTGGTTCAAGATGCATATTAGGTTTTCAGTTTTGGTTTAGTAAATTAACAAATTTATGTCAATATAGAATTGTGTCAAAATATTGATAATAAGGTAAGGGAGTTAGCATTGTATTGAAACATGGGTGGGGGGGGGGAGAGTAAGTATGCCACAGACTATTTTTGAATAACGTTATTTTTGAAAGACAGATAAAACATTTTCTCAAAATAAGGCTATCTAAATGCATTAAGAGTTGATTGAATTGATCTATTTTTAATCCTACACCAAAATATTTTACTTCGTGAAGGGTACATGCTACCTCTTATACATTCAATACATTACTAAGTTTCACTGCAATTTTGAAAAAACATTCTTTCCATTCTTTCTGTCATTTAAAATTTATCTCTTCCCCTCGCTATATAGCCCATTGGTATGCAGTGGGCAATTCATGGGTATGGACATATTTCTGTTTGAGGTTTTACAAGATTGTTTTCTATCATGATGTTTTTTAGTTGGTGTTGGTGTAAACAGTGTTGAGTCTGCCTCAGTACTATCTGTTCTACACTGATAGAAAGTTGATCCGAGCTGTCGACCTGAAGGAGTGTTCTTGTTTCAATATCTCCTTTATCAGAATGATTTTGTTCTTAGATGTGGAGGATTAATTTTAGAGTGCTTTAAAGTTTGGGCACACACACACACACACACACACACACACACACACACACACACACACACACACGCGCGCGGATACATGTATTTTAAGTTCAAGTTTGTACCAACAGAAATGAAATTTTTTGCTAGTAGACATTTAATGTCCAGAGAATAGAGAGAAGTTGTATTTGTTACAACAGGAGCAGTAAATGAAGTCTGTTAATTCTGATATTTGGAATTTGGAAGCACATGGATTCTTAGTAGAAGTTTTGATACTCAGGGCAGACACAATAGCAAACTTAAAGTCATAATAACTCTTCGTTTTGGCCAAAAATTGGATTTTCCTGGCGTAAACGGCAATTTTCCTGTACTTACCAATGGTCAACGACCCCATTCCTGCATTCAAAGTTAGTCCAGGGTTTTTTCCTAAACGCTTGGTTTTTTGTTAAAATCTCTTAAGAGATTTTAACTGACGGAGCACTCTCTGACATTGCATAAGTCAAGTGATATCGAGCGGGGTTTTCTGATGACCTACTTAAAAACGCGGGAAAAGCAGACAACAACAACACTTTATTACAATAAAATAAGATTCATGCGATATAATCGTCTTATTGCTCAGAATGCATTTATATCTACAACGTGAGCAGTTCTGGGCTTTTCGTTATCCAACACACTGTACAAAAACTCGCAACTTACGTCTGAGGATTGTGTCATACGCCTGCTATATCTTATCCCACCACATGTTATTTTGGTCTCGAATGCACGCGAGAATCCGCGTGATGCGCCAACATCCTTGGCAACGGATGCCTTAATGACCGGGAAGAAAGGCACCGAAAGCCCTATTGACAAGCACAGTTTTTAGTTTTACTACAATAACAGCCATTTTAGTGGTAAAATGCAATATAATATATTTCCATGTGTTGTTTAGAATGTATTTCTTGAGGAATTTTGAATCTCAAAGGAAGAGTTATTATTGCTTTAATTGAGTCGCAACAGAACATATCAGAGATGTTGATTGAAATATTCAGG